TAATTAAATTGTTACACTTAATTAAAGAGATTGTACATTTAAAGTTGCCAATTTCTTAACAACACCCTTTTTGATTGGAGTAAACCTCTGTGTTGAAAATTAAACAAACAAAAAACATAAATTCACATATGTATGAGAACAGCATTAGTTTTCCCCAACACCCAAAGAGACAGCATTTCTCTTTCTTATCTGCAGAGAAGATTACGTTACTTAAGAATAGCTTTGATACAATGGGAGTCATCTTGCAGCCGTCGTCTCTAGTTTTTATCTAACTATTCTAATGGCCAGAGCTTTTCTTACATTTTTACCCAGTGTCTTCCATTTCCACGAGGACCACATATTGTCGAAGCTTTGGGCGCAATTTAGTTTCAAAAACTTTTATGAAACAGAACATTACTTATTGTGAGAATGTTCAGAATAGAACCACATGTTACTGTCACTCTACGGCTATAACACAAATGTATACAGAAAACAGATATATTACTAGCACTAGAATATACAGCTTCTTATACTTGCTCTTTATTATGCTTAAGTCAGGGATTTTGTACTTAAAGGTATATAGGAGGATTTTCTACTTCAGGGTGGATCATCAAGACTATTGGTCCTCCCAACTGTCAATCATTCTGGTGATACGTCAGATAAGACCAGAGAGTTTGGTTAAAAAAGTGGAGAGGGTGGTTCTTACCTAAAAATTGGGAAAATCCTCCAATATCCATTTGAGTCTTGCTTCTTCATCGTGCTAACGTTGGAGATTTTAGCTAGAGTTAGAGATGTTATTATTTATGACTTATCTTGTGCTGTGTTCACCTCATTCCTACTGTTCTGTAACTTTAAGATTCAAGATTAATGTATTATGTCCTGTAGGAAATATGTCTTGGACTCACAGGCTGCTATGTTGAAAATACACATAAAGTTGTGATGCAACACTGGAATTTCCCCACTGTGGGACAAATAAAGGATCACTCTTAATCTACAAAAGTTAATTGTTAAATCATCAGAAATTGCCCAAATACTGAGCACTTTCACTGGCACCGATTTTCTTCCGGCGTATTCACTGTATCTCCCACTTCCTGTTTACATTACGCTACGTCTAGTTTCTTCAGAAAATGAACGTCTTCTTCATTGATCACTTTCTGCTTGTTCCGACCTTAAGCTGGAGGCGATGCGGAGCTTTCTGGTCGATTGTGTCCGTGTGATACCTCGAGGCATCCTGACCCTTTTCATTTTCAGCCCAGTGTAGAGCTGTATAAGTAAATTATTCACTCTGTCTGTGATGGCGGCTTTCAGGCTCAGAATATTCACTATGGAATCAAAATGCGAGCGTTAAAAGCTTTATCGGACTGGTTAAAGTTTTATTGGCCCGGTGGAGCAGTGGTGGGTTCCCTACATGTCGGGCAAGATTATATAAATCCTGACTCTTTCTATGAATGAGAACGATCTGAAGACGAGGAGGCTGACACTGATTTGGATCTGAACCAATTTTATATATTTTCAAAACTACATGTGCCGTGGGTATGTGCGACCGTACAGAAGGATAATTCATTACTTTTATCGGCTAAGGGGCTGTGAATGAATGAACCGTTTAAACCAAAATAAAATGCTTTTGCCTGGGATAAAGTGAAATATCCATGACATAACAAAGGAATCCATTCACAGTGTTTTTCAGCTGGACCAGTGCAAAAAGCAGTAATTAAAGCAATGTTTATTAGAATGCAGGATATCAAACAGGCCTGAATGACTCCAGTAATGACTTTAAGAGGATAAGTAAGAACAGCAATTAGAAAATAACAACATAGAGGGGAAAAATAGGGCGCAATTAAGTCACAAGTTTTATTTTAAAGGTGGAGATATCACTGAGTAAATTTCAAAGTGCGACTAATACAAAGAATGTGCATATGACATTGATTATCTATAAAACTCAAACAGCAGCCAGATAAATGCAATATTTACAGATTTGTTAAGTTGCTCGAGATAGATCATCCGTGACGTTTTTCCACTGAGAATATTTTGACATCATTCATCACATGCTTAGCGGGCCAGGAAAAGGTGATCCAATCCAATTCACGGCTAGTTCTGGTTGATCGCCCGGCTTTAAACTTGGCAAGCGTGAGGTTCCATTTGCTTTCATTTTTTTTCCCCTTTTTGTTGGGCAGTGTTGTCCCAAGTTTCTCTCTGAGCCCTGCCCGTCCTCCTCCCTCCCCCCTCCTACCTCCCAGAAGACCTATTCTGTGCAAAGTGACTTGAAATCAATTGTGCCGGGAAGGATTAAAGACAGGCCTGGTCGTTCTGTGGCTGTCTGGGCCCATCGCGGCTGTCTGGGGTGGCACTATCTCTCACCTGACAGGAGCCACCGGCCTCAGAGGCGCAAGGTGGGGAGGGAAAAACAGCCGTGTAGTGCTGGGAGAAAAAGCTATTAGCCACCCCTGACTAATTCTGTGGTTAGATCTCCACTGTCCCTACAAGAATCTTCAATCGGGATAAGCACCCCAAGGCCCCTCAATTATGCAACGAGAACAAGATGGGGAGAACCAAGAAGGAGGAAATCGTAAATTATGGGCGCCTTAAGAGGAATGCTTCAATGTTGACCATAGACTACCTCTATAAGTGGAGATCAAGGCTTTACATATTGAGGTAAGTAAGTAAGTAAGTAAGTTTTTATTTATATACCGCCTTTTCACTGCAGATCTGAGTCTCAAAGCGGTTTACAATTGTTAATTTTGGGCATTTGTCTCTCACTCCACACAGAGATGGGAGCGGGGTCGCCAGTACAGGAAGCGCATGCCAGAACTATTGGACATATTTTTAGTGGTAGGGGAAACCGGAGTACCCGGAGGAAACCTACGCAGACACGGGGAGAACATGCAAACTCCACTCAGAAAGGCCCTGGTCCGACCGGGATTCGAACCCAGGACCTTCTTGCTGAGAGGCGAGAGTGCTATCCACTCAGCCACCGTGCTGCCCAGGTTAAGCATGGAGTCAATTTTTCCACCAAAGGGGAGTTAATAATTAAGTTTGATTTTACAATACCATAAATTAAAGAATATACTTTCTTTACGTTCAGCATATCGTCACACGTGGGTTGCCAAAATCCTTGCTCTCAAATAAGACTACCATAGATACTAGTTTAAAGGTCTATTTTCCCCAATTTTAGGAGAGAACCACCCTCCTCAAAGGGATTGCCTTAAAACGTGTCTCACATGTCACCAGAATGATTGACAATTAGGAGGACCAATAGTCAAAGTGATCCACCCGGAAGTAGAAAATCCTCCTATATACCTTTTAAGGGAGAATTATTACTGGGGATACTGGAAAACACATTTATATGGAGATACAAAATGGTCATTCTAAAATATATTCTTACAGTATAAACATAATTGTAAGTAAATCATCTTTAGCACTTCTCAGACTACGCTCGCACACAATCAATCTAAAATTATGTGGCTTTTCCTTTTGCTTCACACTCTGAGACTGACAAAAGCAGAACGGCTACACACCAACAAACAGCACCTTTAAAACTATTGTACATTTAGCTGGAGGCCAAACTGGAGCAGACTATTTCAATTTCAATGCAATTTATTTTTGTATGGCTCTGAATCTCGCTCCCAGTCGTCTCAGCTTAAGATTTAACAAAAATCTCAATTTGCCTTTGGATTAGTGAATCAAACAAAAAGAACACAATAAATACAATCACAAAATCCGGCATCGGAGACACAGGGAGAGCATGCAAATTCCAAACAGAAATTGGCCCAGGATGCATGTGTTGTGTGTAATTTTCCTTTATGATTGTCCATATTCAAATATCAATGAGTGAATTGGCTGGTTGTAGGGGCAACAGTGGCTCAGTGTGTAGAGCATTGGCCTTTGGGCCTGAAGGTTGTGGGTTCGAGCCCACCGTAAGACCTACTTCACGACTCCCACTGATGTCTGCTGTCGTTGTGTCCTTGGGCAAGACACTTAACCCCACTTTTCCTGAAGCCCCCGCTGAAAGATCTCAGCTCCTGTGGACTCAGCTCCTGCAGGAGGATCAGTGAGGGGCTGGTGCTCTGACTGCCACCCCCGACCCAGACATGGATTAAGGGGAAGAAAATGGATGGATGGTTGTGCTCCATAATTCATTCTGGAGTGATCCGCACGCAAATAGTCATGAACATATCAATACTTTTACTAACTTTTGATAAGAAAAAAATGTTCTAAATGTTCCTTCACGATTCTGCTGCAGCTTGGACATTGCTTGTGACTTCAGTGTGTCTGATGTGATAGAACTGTCCACTTTACAACTGTACGTCAGCTCAAGTCTACGATTCTATTTGACATAAAAACCAACTCCCCCCGATGCCTCTCCCCGTACAACACTGCAAAGCTTTTATGGTCTGTGTCATAATCGAGTGCTCGTCTGGGATCTCAAACACATTTTATAGACGGCCACATCTGCCAATGATTCCGTGCCAAAACGAGACAAATTTCTTAAATATAGTACACGACATCAACCCTGGAGTCCTTTAAAACCGCGGTCTTTTTACTAAATGACAGAGTTGTTCCACTGAGCCTAGTCAAGTATAAAGACATAAGTGCTGCTGATAATGCAGGGAGCACTTTCAAAAACCCAGATCTGTAATTAAAAACTAATATTCTCACTCGGCCTTAGCATCGAAGCTACGCGCGACAATGCTACAACGAGGCTTTTGTGTCTTGTAAATTTCTCGACAAATGCCCTTTATCATTACTATGGCTGCCTGTTTTTTCCTCCACCTGAAGGAGTGGGTCGCGAATGTTTGGCCTGTATTAATATCTCACTTAGTTTTTCCGGATCAGCCATGCCAAAAATCCTTGTGGGCAGCAGTAGGCGCTTGGCTAGCCTCCCATCGCGTTTCACGACAGTGGAAGAGGGTTTTTAATACGTTTTGCAAGCTCAGCAGTCCAGCCCGGGCCGGACACCGCGGCTGTATTTAAAAGGCAGGGTATAGAGGCTGTTGGTTTTGCAGAGGTACCTGGCGGTGTAGATGGGAGATCTACACTGGAGACTCCCATGTACTGTGAGTAAAAGAAAAGCCATGTACTCAGCGCTTTTCCCCCAATATCCCTCCCTGCCAGTGCCTCGTCTCGCTATAAGCTGCGATTCGGTGTCGCTGTGCGGGGGCAAAGTGGCCAAATGGATGTGCAAGGCAGCGCGACTCTCCTGCTTTTAAATGTTGTTTCGGGTCACGTACTTCGCTTTGATCTGTGTCCGCTGTTTGATGGTGGGGTTTAGCACGCGAGGACGGCGGCTGCAGGACTGTATGAGATCATTTTCGAGGTGTAAAGATGGCTCAATAGATGGGCCATGGAATCCAATGCATTTCAAATAAAACACTATTGATTGCATGCTGCCGTCACACTGTACAGGACTAACAAGCGCTGCCGAACTGACCTCACATGTTCTAATCATTTAAATAATGTCAGAATGTGCAATAAGGAACCACATGTGTCCACTTTGTCTCATACCCCGTACTTACTTTATACTTCTTATGCTAAAGCTAGACATTTTCTTTTATGGTTGAGTTATTGTTCATTCATGTTATATTAAGATGAGATAAAGCTTGTGTACGTAACTTTCAAACCATAAAGATAAATAATAAAACCTATCGTCCTCAAGTTTTCTCTCTTTCAAAACAGTTCGGGTCCGTTGCTCGTTTTCACATGTATTTTTGGCCTCTCTGCTTTTTCAGTCAGAATCAGCCCCAAAGGGTCCAACAGTGACTCACTCTAGGCTCATTCTAAAAAGTGCGCACGAGACGACTGTGTTTTCTAATAAGACTGATTCTCAAGATTATTTCTGTTGTGACAATAATAATCATTTTTGGAACTTACTCCCTCGACCCATCAGAAACTCCTCGACCCATCAGAAACTCCTCGACCCATCAGAAACTCCTCGACCCATCAGAAACACCTCGACCCATCAGAAACTCCTCGACCCATCAGAAACTCCTCGACCCATCAGAAACTCCTCGACCCATCAGAAACTCCTCGACCCATCAGAAACACCTCGACTCATCAGAAACTCCTCGACCCTTCAGAAACACCTCGACCCATCAGAAACTCCGACCCATCAGAAACTCCTCGACCCATCACAAACTCCGACCCATCAGAAACACCTCGACCCATCACAAACTCCGACCCATCAGAAACACCTCGACCCATCAGAAACTCCGACCCATCAGAAACTCCTCGACCCTTCAGAAACACCTCGACCCATCAGAAACTCCTCGACCCTTCAGAAACTCCTCGACCCATCAGAAACACCTCGACCCATACGAAACTCCGACCCATCAGAAACTCCTCGACCCTTCAGAAACACCTCGACCCATCAGAAACTCCTCGACCCATCAGAAACACCTCGACCCTTCAGAAACACCTCGACCCTTCAGAAACACCTCGACCCATCAGAAACACCTCGACCCTTCAGAAACACCTCGACCCTTCAGAAACACCTCGACCCATCAGAAACTCCTCGACCCTTCAGAAACACCTCGACCCTTCAGAAACACCTCGACCCATCAGAAACACCTCGACCCTTCAGAAACTCCTCGACCCTTCAGAAACTCCTCGACCCTTCAGAAACACCTCGACCCTTCAGAAACTCCGACCCATCAGAAACACCTCGACCCATCAGAAACTCCTCGACCCTTCAGAAACTCCTCGACCCTTCAGAAACTCCTCGACCCTTCAGAAACACCTCGACCCATCACAAACTCCGACCCATCAGAAACACCTCGACCCATCACAAACTCCGACCCATCACAAACTCCGACACACTACAGAACTTTAAATCACTTTTCAAAACCACCTGTTTCTCCTTTTCCCTTATTTTGCTCTTCTGTGTTTATTTTATATGTTTTGTAAAGCGTCTTTGAGTGTCCAAAAAAGTGCTATACAAGTTTGATATGTTATTTTAATAATATTAGGTTAAGAATCCCAGCTTGAAGACCCAAGGATTAATATGCAAAAATCTGGCCTAAAGTGTTACTGCAACCTGGAACCTAAATATCTGAGTATCTGAGTTTGGGCAACAACAAATCTATAACCAACACCACATGTTAATCTACCAGAAACTAAACGCGGTGAGTTCTGGAAACCTGGATCACAGACTTTCTGACTGGTGAAACGGTGGAGGGAGGAACAACATTTATTAGTGCCTTTTGATGCACTACATGTATTACTCATCACATGTCCCTCTGTATCTCTGCTGGGGTTAGCGTTAGCGTTAGCTTTAGCGTTAGGGTTAGGGTTAGTAAGCCATTAAACAATCATTAAATAAATACAGAAATCAAGAACACACAAAAAAGCATCTGCGACTAAAAGTAGGCACCTTTTCATTCTGAACATTTCAATATGATCAAAGACACAGATTCTACATAGAGCCCCATTGAAGCCCTCATTGACACAAGCAAACATCTGAAAACAGCAAATGTACAAGTATAAAAAGGTGTCAATCCCGCTCACGGCAAATGGAGCCGCTAACGCACTAGCATCCCATTTGCGTTCTTATGTCAGGAAATCAAAAGCACAGCATCCGCCACAGACAGCATTAACCACGGCGGCATCGCTCACTCTTGCCTAATAGCCAGAGGGAGAGAGTGCAGAGAGTTAAATTGACCTTGGCTGTGCGAGTTTCCCATCGCTAGGGTGAAAATCACGTCATTATGAATGAGTTTCAAGAGGACGCAGCTCACAGTGAAGCAAATAATATAAAATAAAAAACAAAAAACAGCCTGAGGAGAAACCGGCAGCCTCTGAAGCACACTGCTGTGGCTTTATCTTTAAGGTCATTTAAAATAACCTTGTGCAAATATGAAGCCGGGCTGTTCTGCCGGGTTCACAGGAGAAGGGTGCGC